GGAGGAGAGGATTTATTTCAGCTGATGTCACTCAGGGACATCAGGGCAGAAACCTGGAGGCAGGGGATGAAACAGAGACCATGGAGGAACAGAGGATGCAATGCTGTTTACTGGCTTGCTCCTCTGGTTTGTGCTTAGCCTGTTTTCTTACACAATGCAGGACCACCTACCAGCCTGGGGGATGTATCATACACGGTGGTCTGAGCTCTCCTACATCACTCAAAAATCAAGAAAATGCCTCACAGGCATGCCTATAATCCCCCAATTGAGGTTCTTTCTTCCCAGGTGTGTCAGTTTGAGAGTAGAATTGCTCCTAGAACAAGTATAAGTTTAACTTTTAAGGAAAATGCCAAACTGTTTTCCAAAATGATTTTCCATTTTCCTTATACTTCCAGTCATATGTAAGGGCCACCACTGGTCCATGCCTTTGCCAACATTTGGCATTATGGGTTTTAAATTTGATTATATTGAATGGATGTGTAGTGATTTCATTGCAGGTGTTTCCTTGAACTTTGAACCTCTGCTTTCTTTTTTAAAAAGTATTTTATTTATTTATATTATTTATTAATATATTTTACATGTATGAGTGTATTGCCTGCATGTATGTGAGTGCACCTGTGCTGTGCAATGCCACAGAGATCAGAAGAGGGCTTCAGATTCCCTTGGAACTGGAGTTAAGGATGGTTCGTAGCTGCCATGTGGGGTGCTGGGAATTGGACCCGAGTCCTCTGCAAGAGCAGTCAAGTGCTCTTAACTGCTAAGCCATCTCTCCAGCCTCTTATTTATTACTTTTATTTTATGTGTATGAGTGTATTGCCTACAAAGTAAGTGCACCAGTGTCATGCAATACTCTCAATCCCCTGGAACTGGAGTTATGGACAATTGTTAGCCATCACATGAGTTCTGGAAATTGAACCTGGATCCTCTGCTAGAGCAGCCACTGCTCTTAACTGCTAAGCCATCTCTCTATCCCCTGAACCTCTGCTTTCTTATTTCTGTCCCTTTGCCTGCCTCCCCCCTCTCTCTATCTCTCTCTCTTTCTCTTCCTCCCCTACTCACTACCTGCCTCCCTCCACAGAAATATACCTGAGAGTCTTCATCCCACATTTTTACTACTGCCTTGGCCATAATCAACACAGGGCCTCTGAATGGTGGTGCAGTAAGTGGCAGAGCACATGAGGACTTTCCCCAGCAGAGCTATGAAAAAGTCTGGGATAAAAAACACAGGAATGTCCTGGAAACATAAAGCAGCTGGCTCCTTAACTTCCAGACCTGAGGAGCTTGGGATCTCTTATCCCCTCACAGCCTAGCTCCTTCAGTCAGGATATTGAATGTAGAGAAACCATCTGCCAGGAAGGACTGGGACCACAGGTTGGATAAGAGTACATTGAAGGGACAACACTGTATCAAGAGAAAGCCTTGCTGATTGGAGGCTGTAGGAGAAACCATGGCTGTTAAGTTCCAGGGGAAAAGTCAGAAAGTCACCAAAGAGGAAGTCTTGCAGTGCTAGGCTGTGAGTGCTCTAGATGATTGGGGCCTATAAAGACAGAGCCAAGGCCAATTATCTGATGGGCTAAAATCTGTCTGATGTTGATCTAGACACTCATTTCTCCAGGAAGTCAGGCTGGGCTAGGTGTGAGCTCCTGATCCTGTACTCTGTACCATGTTTTTTTTTTTTTTTTATGATTCTGAAATTCCTACTGATGGACTTGTATCTTTGTCATAGACTCTGAGAACCCAGACTGTCCCTAATGTTTGAGCCACCAGGGCCCAATTAAATGCTTGTCAAGTGGGGGCTGGTGAATGACTCAGCCCATAACAGAGCTTACTGCCAATGCCGACAACCTATGTTTGATCCCCAGGACCCACATGTGGAAAGAGAGAGAACCAGCTCCTGAAAGTTGTCTTCTGACCTCCACATGTATGTGATGGGACTCTAGCATCCATGCATACATACATGTACATCATAAATAAATGTGAAGATAAAAAATTTTCAAGTGGATAATTAACTGTTAAGGAGTTGCAACTTGAGTAGCAACATTATGGCGGTAGAGGCAGAAGGGCCAGAACTGCAGTGTGCTTCAATCAAACAGCCATGATCTAGAAGGAGGAGTTACATGTAGACCCTAAGATGTAAGGGATGAGGCACTCTGAAGGTACATTCAGTAAACTACGAATCTTAGAAGTACAGAGGAGTTTTCAGGATGAAGGCCACACACTCAAGGCTCACAGCTTGTGCTAAATAGCTTCAGTTGTCCACTTGACACACGTGGGAACAGAGAACATCAGCTGGGGAATTTCCTCTTTCAGATTGGCCTGTTGGCATCTCTGTGAGGCACTTTCTTGATTATTGAGTGATGTGGGGAGGGCCCAGCCCTCTGTGGGTGGTGCCACCCCTGGGCAGGTGGTTCTGAGTTCTATAAGAAAGCAGGCTGAGCACAGGAGGGAAATAAGCTGGTTAAACAGCACGCTTCTGTGATCTGTGTTTCGCCTCCAGGTTCCTGCTTGAGCTCCTGCTCTGGTTTTCCTCAATAAAGGTACCAAAAACTGAAATAAACCCTTTCCTCCCCAAGTTGGTTTTGATCAGTGTTTTAGTACAGCAATAGAAAGCTAACTAGAACAGAAGTTGATACCAGGGTCATGGAGCATGGCTGTAAATGACCTGACCAGACTGTTTTGTGGAAGATTGTGGAAGCATTTTGAAATTTGGGCTGGAAAGGAAAGATTGTGGAAGCATTTGGAACTCTGGGCTAGAAAATATGTTGAGTGCTTGGAGCTTAGTGAGCTATTCGTGGGAGCTTGGAGAAATGTAGATGATGGAGGTCTGGCTTGTGAAATTTTGGGGTGGGGAATTTGAGAATCCCTCAAAGACTCAATCTGCTGTTTGTGTCCTATTTTAAATTGAGAATTTGATTTCTGGTCAGCTGGGGCTTAAGAAACAGCTGTGATTAACAAGAGACCACTTCAGCACCGCTGAGGTGAAACCTTTGCTTTATTGGGATAATTGACACTGGTTAGCTGGGGCTGAAAAATCAGATGTAATTAAGAAGAGACCAGCATTATTGAGTGAAATCTTCTGGGAAGTATTTCCTCAGGGTCAGCACATAGAAGCTGTGGCCCAGAGTGGACCAAGGCTGCAAGCTGGAAACTGAACTTAGTAATGTGTAAGAGTCTTCCATGTGGTGCTGATTTTGGTGGCATAAAAGCTGCAGAATTGAAGAGGTCTGAGAGAATTTGAAGCTTGGCACCCTGTGAGTCCAGAAGAGGCCATTAGTGTAGCCTCAGTTGCAGTGGAGACCGTAGAAAATTGGAGATGCCAGGACAGTGGGATGACCCCCAAGGGCAGTGACAAATGTGGACTGGAGTCAGCCTGAGCTTATAAGACTAGCTGTGTGTGCTGTGGATGGCAGGGTCAAAGCGGATCTGCCCAAGCCTTTTGGAGCGCAGAAGATCATGAAGAATCCCAGATGTTGGGCACTGAACTCTTTTTGCTGTTCAATTTTGTTTTTGCTTTTATCTGACTGTGCCTGGTTTTTCCCTCTTTGAGTAAGAAGTATGCAACTTTTGATTTTACAGGAGCCCACAGTTCAGAGACTTTGGATTCATTTTTATTTTTATGTGTATGAGTGTATTTCCCACATGTATGTGTCATGCAATGCCCGTGGCAGTCAGAAGAGGGTGTTGGATCCCCTGGAAATGGAGTTACAGATGGTTGTTAGCCATCATGTGGGTGCTGGGAATCGAACCCGAGTTCTCTGCAAGAGCAGTCAGTGTTCTTAACTGCTGAGCCATCTCTCCAACCTGATTTTGGATTAAAGAGACATTGAGCTTTTTAAAGTATTGGAATCTGTAAGGACTATGAGACTTTTAAAATTGTACGATGGTTTGATTTGCTTTTTTTTCTTTGCTGTTGGTGGTTTTTTTTTTTTTAGGGGGGATAGAGTTTTTTTTTTTTTTTTTTTTAGGGGGCATAGAGTTTGAGTCTGGGATTCCCTGTAGTCCCAGCTGACCTGGAACTCATTATGTAGATGAGGCTGGCCTCAATCTCTCTCCTGCCTCTGTCTCTCGAGTACTGGGATTAAAGGTGTGTACCAGCACACCTGACCAGGTGTACCATGTTTTATATTTTGATATTAATATTAACATGAGATCTTAGGGGCAAGAAATGGGAAGGTTATGGTTTAATAGTGATGTATTTGTGTGTCAAGTTGACAAGGGGTGAATTTTACTGAACAGCTTCAGTTGCCAATCTGACATACCTGGAAAGAGGGAACCTTAATTGGGGAATTTCTTCCATTTCGTTGTCCTGTGGGCATCTCTGTGAGGCATTTTCTTGTTGTTGAGTGATGTGGGAGGGCTCAGTTTGCAGAGGGTGGTGCCAGCCCTGGACAGGTGATCCTGGGTTTGATAAGAAAGCAGGCTGAGCACAGGTAGAACAGTGAGCTTGCAAGTATCAGTCTGCGCTTTGACTCTTGCCTCCAGGTTCTTGCTTGAGCTCCTGCCTTGGTTTTCCTTAATGAAGGTACTATACACCAAATAAACCCTCTCCTCCCCAAGTTGGTTTTGGCCAGCATTTTGTCACAGCAATAGAAAGCTAACTAGAACATTGCCCTTGCATGCTACTGTACATCTGGGGCATCTTGATTACGTACCTACTCAGAGACAGCTCCCTGGTTTTTCCTATTAAAGCTTTCTGCTTTAAAACACATTGGGCTGGTGAGTACAAGGACAGGAATCATGGTGACTTTGGGTTTGAGGACCAGGTTCCTCGTATCCCAGAAGGGCTTCAAAAGCCACTCTGTGCCTTTCCAGGAGGCCAAAGAAAGCAGAAAAATGGGAGATGGCTTTGCCCCACCTGCTGACTATTGGCTCCTGTCATCTCTGCCTAATCAATGCAGTTCTTCAATGATAAGAACTTTGCCCCGCCCCATCAAGTTCTCTGGTCTACACCTCTTTAGGTCCAAATTCCTGGTTGGGCAAGGCCCACATATTCTCTTTACTATTGGTGAAACACAGTCATTTTGGAGGAGCACCCATTTGGGCCTGGGAACCGATCATGCCGCTGGATAGACTTCCTGGCTGGCTGAATGCTGTGACCTGTGGGCTCCTGCTGCTTCTCCTTCATGTGCAGGGTGAGACTCACTCAGGGGGCAATGGGAACCAGGGTCATAGCTCCCAAATTCTAAAGAGTCAGAGTCTGAGTTTGTGAGAGGGAAGATGCCAGAGAGGGAGGAGCTGTTAGGGGTGACAGATGAAGGCATGGGAAATGTGCCTCTTAATTGCCCACCAAAGCACACAGGGTGATCCTGTAAAGCAGAGGGTAGGAAATATCCAAGAACACCCAATTTCTTAGCACCAGGCCAGTGTGAGAGGATCTGAGGAGCACTGTACCTGCAGGTTAGGAGAAAGGGTGGAAGGGACTTTTCCCTCTTTTGTGTGTGGCTGTGATTATATTTACTCCTGACCTTAGGATAATAATGAAAATGTACTATCACGCTGCCAATGGGCTCTGAGTGTGTCACCTCTTTGGCCATAGAAGTTTCCTGGTACCCTTCAAAAGTGTAAGGTGTCTGGCTTTAGGGGATGCAGAAACTCATACCTCTATATTCCACAGCTGAACTGAGAGGCCCTGGGTTCCCTTCCCTCTGTGTACCCTGGTGACAATGAAGTGGGAATTCACACAACGTGGTGGCAGCTGATCAAGATGAACTAACACTAATGGCATATCTCCACCCACAGGCCAGGACTCAGCTAGTCCCATCAGGACCACACACACAGGGCAGGTGCGAGGTAACCTCATCCGTGTTAAGGACACCGAAGTTGGTGTCCACACCTTTTTGGGAATTCCATTTGCCAAGTCACCTGTAGGACCACTGCGGTTTGCACCTCCTGAGTCCCCTGAATCATGGAGTGGTGTGAGAGATGGGACCTCACAACCGGCCATGTAAGTTCAAGGACCCAGGTGACTTTAGGCTCTGAGCTCTGGACGGTGCTGCAGTGCTTCCTCCATTTCAGCTCTATAGCAGTTTTCTCTCTGTTGGGGAGTCTTCTATGCATTTTTCTCATTCATGTGCTGAGGTTTAAAGTAGAACAACTTTGCCAGGCTCTTGGATTTGAGTTTGGTACCTGTATGGAGTTAGCTCCAGGATTATAGAGAGGAGCAGAGACAAAATTGTTCCCATATTCAGAATATGCCAAGTGTTCTCTGCCATGATGGGAGTGATCTCTGGGCAGGGTCAGTGTGGGCCTATTAAGCAACAAGAGCCCCACAGTCCAGTATCATGCACTCCAGTTCCCTGAGGAGGGCAGCATTCATGGGTCCTTGACAATCCTATCTTCTACAGTCACTGTAACAACTCATAGGGCCAAGTGCCATTGACCAAGAAACAAATATATGGGCTTACAGTTGGAAACTATATGGGAGGAGGGTCCCATATTGGATGAAGGATATCTCATTACCTTATGGGACCATATTATTCATTCCTATAGTATCTATGTGGGTACAGCACTCAAGTATCTTAGTTTTATTTTCTGTGGCTATGACAAAATATGCTAACATACCGACTTAGAGAAAAGTTTTATTACAGGTCACAATTCTGAGTTTTAGTCCATCAGAGACAGAGGCCTAAGGGAGCTAGTCATGTCACATCTGTTATCAGGAACAGAAAGCAACAAATGCATGTCTGCCTGCTAATGCTCAGTTTTCTTTTATTTCTTGTTGAGACAGGGGCTCACTATGTATCCCTGGCTGGCCTGGAACTCTTGTGTAGACTTATAGACCAGGCTGGTCTTGAACTTATAGAGATCCACCTGAGTCTGCCTCCTGAGTGCTGGGATTAAAGGCATGTATCAACACGCCTAGTACTTTGTCCATTCTCTTAAGTTCAGAAGCTCCTTCCTAAGGAATGGTACCATTCACAATGGGCAGGTCTTCCCAACTCATTGAACATAAACAGGATAATTCCCCATAGCCAACCTGATCTAGACAGTCCCTCATTGATTCTCTTCCCAGGTGATACTGCATTATGTCAACAATAAAAGCTAACATTACACAAGTACATTAAGTAGTATAGGGAGAAATGGTTAATGTCAATCATTTTCAGGCTATCATTTTCACAGAGACCCTAGTAGTCTCCATATCCTCACCTCTGAAAGAGTAATGCCCAACTGGAGGCCTCCCTGGAAATCTGGCTCCATTCCTGATCACTGTGCACATCTCTTGGAATAACTATTTGCCATTGTTCCCAGGTGTCTGCAAAATGTTGAAATAATGAATGTAGATGGTATGAAAGAAATGAATCAGATCCTGCCTGACATCTCTATGTCTGAGGACTGCCTGTATCTCAACGTCTATATACCAGCCCATGCCTATGAGGGCTCTAATCTGCCTGTGAGTGTCAGGCCATGATCAGCTTGGGGAGAAGGCATTTCTTCTACAGTACAACTAGGGACAAAATCAACCTGAGCCCCACTGCGGTGTAAACCCTGATGAGTAGCCTTACCCTGTTGGCTCCAAGAAGCCATGAACCCTGTGTTTTGGACACAGAGCACTGGAGCTTTGAGAAGTCAAAGGCTGTGGCTCTTTGATCAAACCAGCATTCACTCTACCAACTTGAACCCTACAGACCCACCTAGGTGTTCAAGGACTGAACATTAACATCATCAAAATTTCTAGCTGGGGATTATGTATTGTGCCGATAAGATGATGACCCTTCTGATCACTAATCAGGAGAGACACTCATTGAAATTCCTCTTTTTGTTCCACTTTGAGGGTAATGGTGACATTACTTTAGATCTAGAGCCATCAATCCATGCTAAGATTCCAGGGTGTGTATGTGTGTGTGTGTGGTGGGGGGGGTAGGATGGGAAATATGCTCATTAGACTAGAGTATACTATCTGAGGCTCAGATCCTGAAGCCCTAAGTTCTGTGTATATGTCTACCTACACTGAAACAAAGCAGCTGCTAACCTAGTAGGCTGTCTAGCTGGAGCTTGGGTTGGATGGGAGTCTCCTGGCATCTGTTATTTTCTCAGGTGATGGTATGGATACATGGTGGTGGACTTGTTGTGGGCATGGCTTCCATGTATGATGGATCCTTACTGGCAGCTACTGAGGATGTTGTGGTGGTCATTATCCAGTACCGTCTGGGTGTTCTGGGCTTCTTCAGGTGAGCCTGGGCCTGGGATGGCAATGGAGGCTGTGTAGAACCAGGACAGCCCTCTGATCTCTGTTCCTGCAACTTTTACAGCACTGGAGACCAGCATGCCAGAGGCAACTGGGGCTACCTGGACCAAGTGGCTGCCCTACGCTGGGTCCAGCAGAATATCGCCCACTTTGGAGGCAACCCTGACCGGGTCACCATTTTTGGAGAGTCAGCAGGTGGCACAAGTGTGTCCTCACATGTTGTGTCCCCCATGTCCCAAGGACTCTTCCATGGTGCCATCATGGAGAGTGGGGTGGCTGTGCTGCCTGACCTCATCTCTGATACCTCGGAGGTGATCTACAGGGTAAGTGCCATCAACCACCCTAGCTCTGACCCTGCAGCTTCAGCCCTCACCTCTGGTACTCTGTTACTCTGTTCAGTGGGAAAAACAAGGATCATGGGAAATGACTTATTTCCAGTAATTTCTGAGCAACTCCAGGGTTAGAATCTACTCCCTTCTACTTTATACATGCTGAGTATGTTATACGACCAGCAAAGTTGTATCCAGCAGTTTCTATCACTGGGTTGGGGAGATGACTCAGTGGGTAAAGGTACTTGCTCTGCAAGTTTGGAGTTCAGATCCCCAGTAGGTGGTAAAGTGCCATAATTCCAGTGTTCCTTTGGAGAGATGGGAGGCAGAGGCAGAAGAATCCCTGGAAGGTCACAGACCAGTTAAGCTGGTGTAAGGAGTGGTAAACAAGAGACCCTCTCTCAAACAAGGAAGGAATGTGATACATGACACCTGAGATCATCTACTGACCTTCACAGGCAAAATGTGATAACCTCATACCCATTTTCACGAATGTCACACACACACACACACACACACACACACACCAATAACAAAAACAACTATGTAAGTAGAACGGCCTCTGTTCTGATTGTTACCACTGAGCAACAGGACAATGCAAACAATTCCTTCCACACACAACACACATCAGCATGTGATAGATACTTAAGAACAGTGGTTTGGGATTGGGCAAAACTACTTTCTGTGGGAGGATGAGCAGCCCCTGCCTGGTCCCTTTACAGACAGTGGCCAAACTATCTAGATGTGAGTCTGTGGACTCGGAAGCCCTGGTGCGCTGTCTGCGAGGCAAGAGTGAAGAGGAGATTCTGGCTATTAACAAGGTTGGGAGAATTATGTGGCTTGGATCCCTGTTCAACAGGATGTGGGAGAGCCTCCCTACTCTGAACAAATTATTTCATCTTGATAGATGATATCCTGTTAGTCCTGGTTGCAAACTGAACACCAAGATACATTAATCTAGGTGTGAGATCTCTTCTGGAAGGGGAGGAACTTCCTGAGATGAATAAGGAAATGAATAAGAAATGGCAGGTGTAACTCAGTGTGCATCTGAATACGTTTGATTGACCTTCAGCACTGACCTTTAATGCCCTCAGGTCTTCAGTATCATCCCTGGTGTGGTGGATGGGGAGTTCCTACCCAGGCACCCCCAGGAGCTGTTGGCCTCTGTGGACTTTCACCCTGTTCCCAGCATCATTGGTGTTAACAATGATGAGTATGGTTGGACCATCCCCATGGTGAGGACCAGTTCTGGTCACCTGAGAATCTGGGAACTCTCATGGTGGGTGGAGTGAACTCAGATCTTTTCGATCTAGATCTATCCCATCCCACACTTAAGACTGTCCTCTGCCTCTCAGCTCCTGGGCTTTGCTCATACAATAAAGAACATAACCAGAAAGACACTGCAGGCTGTTTTGAAGAGCACAACGGCACAGATGGTGAGATACTGTGGGTTCTGCCCCAACTGAATGAGCCCCCAATTATCCTCAGACAGCATGTCCAGAAAGAAAGGTGGTTGTGTGTGTTTCTGTATGGACTCACCCCAGAGTTTTTACTTTTCCACCTATACCCTCTCATCCCTGGCCCCATTACTCTACTGAGGCTGCTGCCTGTCTATCCAAGAGCCTGCCTAACCTCATTCTTTCTGATCCTCATGGTATAGAGGTTGCCTCCTGAGTGTAGTGATCTGCTAATGGAAGAGTACATGGGAGACACTGAGGACTCCCACACTCTCCAACTACAGTACACAGAGATGATGGGGGATTTCACGTTTGTGATCCCTGCACTCCAAGTGGCACACTTTCAGCGTGAGTATATCGGTAACAAGGCCTATGGGTACACCTCAGAGCTGTGGGTCCCAAGTGACTTTTGTGGTGTCCATGTCCCATGACTGAGTCAGGTCTCTGGTACTAGGTGCCTGAGGACCCTTATCCCAGAAAATCCTATGTTTCGTGTAAGAGTGCCATCTTTTTCAGGTACAGATGAGGAGTCAGGTTACTGCTGCTCTGTAATTTGCCCAAACTACTCATTTGGGAAGTCGGTATAATGATTTAATCAAAGGCTTTTCCCATAGCTAGTGCTCCAGGATGGAACTTCCCACTCAACTGTTGTGATTCCAGATAACTTTAGATCAAGGTATCTTGTCACCAAATGTGTGGCAGGACAGTTCCAGATGAGGGGTCATTATGTCACCATATTTCCTTGTCCCCAGGTTCACTTGCCCATGTCTACTTCTATGAGTTCCAACATCAGCCCAGCTTTGCTAAGTATGTAAGGCCACCCCACGTGAAGGCTGACCATGCTGATGAGGTTCCCTTTGTCTTTGGATCCTTCTTCTTGGATAGCAACCGTGAGTCTGTTTTCTGTGAGCTGGGCTGGGTCCCAGATGGGTACCTGAATGATATCTGAGCTCTCAGTCTGGTTGAAGCTTTTGGAGAAGATAAGAACAAATGTTTACCATCTCATAGCTCAAAAAGCTATTCCATGTTTAGAACCTGGACCCTTTCCTGTCTATCCTATGCTAGAGGGAATGAAGGCACACTGGAGCAGAAATGAACCTGGGGGAATTCAATTAGAGACCTGATGGATCTTGGATCTGGGGTGATGAGGAAGGGAACCAAGCCTAGAGTTCAAGGTCAAGCTATACTTGAGATGGTGGACAGTGCAGCATGAGTTGGCAGCTGCATGGGCTGACTGGGACCTGGACCTTTGTATTTCTGTTTGCAGTTGACTTCACTGAGGAGGAGAAGGTACTGAGCAGGAGGATGATGAAGTACTGGGCCAACTTTGCACGACATGGGTGAGAGCATGACCTTCCCTCAATCTCTCAGGGATAGGTCTCTAGTGCTCCCATTGTGAGTGGTGGCCTTATTAGCATGCATGGAGCCTTCATTATATGATAGTCTTCACCACAGGATACACTTAGATAGCTATCCCTCTAAGTTTCAGCTATTGGTCATCTTGCCATGACCTGGCATGTGGGACAGAGTGTTGATGTACTGTTCTTTAGGTCTTTCCTCTGAGAGAAGGCACAAAACAGGCCAGGTAGCCTTGCCCCACATACTAGTAGATGACACTTGTATCCCTCTATGAAGACACTTGTCCCATCATTCCCCTCAACTCCCTGGTCTGCTGGTCCACTGTCTTGCCCCAAATCAGGAGATCAGGCTTTGGATTGGAGTGATCCTCATAGTTCCTTGCTGGGGGTGGGTATATCGACAGGAACCCCAACAGTGAGGGCCTACCCTACTGGCCTGTGTTGGACCAGGATGAGAAGTACTTGCAGCTGGATGTCAAGACTGCTGTGGGTCATGGTTTGAAGGCTGGAAGGCTGCGGTTCTGGACTGAAACCCTGCCCCGGAAGATCCAAGGGCTAAAGGGGACTCAAGACAAGCATACAGAGCTCTAGTGCCCTTATCAGGAAATGTGTGTGCACTGGAGTGCTAATGGGATCATCCTGGCATTCCCAAAACCCATTGAAGAATCTAGTTTGATTCCAACATTCACATAAACATTCCTAACATCAGCACTTGTCCATTTAGCCGACATGTACAGCAAACCCTCTGCATATCCTTATCCTGCTAGATCTATCTTTTGTTAGATGTAGTCAATAAATGTTCCCATAACAATGTGGATGTGTGAGCCCATCTTCTTCCACACTCTACTGGGACTAGGTCCCTTCTTTCCTCCTCTCATCTTCTCTCCATCCTCTTTCCTCTTCTAACCCCAGGTCCTCTTCAAATGAAGCAGAAGCTTTGGGGAATGTTGACTTCACTAGGGGTGGGGTACGTTAAAACACCATGCCCGCCCTCAGCAAGTCTCATATTTTCACATATTTTTCTTTAAAGTGGCCAATAGAAAGAAAACCTGGTTATTCAAAGCCCCATTGTCTTCCTAAGTTCAGGCTGCTGTTCCAAAAAGATCAAAACTGCAAGCTGGACTCAGTGTAAGTATCTGTGGCCCTAGCTATTCAGAGGCTGAGACAGGATGATTACATGAGCCCAGCACAATATAACAAGGCCTACATCTCAATACAAAAAATTATAATCTTGATACATAAACAACAAATGTATGATCTTGTAGACTTAGAAATCCAGAGTCTGGATGCCCACAGATTGGCTGTGTGGTGAGATTGGCTGTGTAGTCTGACTCAAAAGACTACACATTGTATACTCTGGATAGAATGTGTAAACAAAGGCACACCAAGGATAATTTCCTGCTGACTTGCACTCAGGGCAGGGAAAATTCTGTTAGCGAGCACTGGCCTTGCAGGTTGTTTCCATTGCACCCATAAAGCACTGAGTTCCTACTGCGAGCAGACCCGTTTTTCAGTTCTGCAAATGGACGTTAAGTATCCAAATATGATGTCCAGGGTATATTTTAGATTTTCAATTATCTCTAATAGTTTTGAGTGTGGATTTTTTTTATGCTGCTAGGCATTGATCTTGGGGTCTTCTGAATGTTGTCACTGATTTCCCTTAACCCTGCTTCAAAGCAATCCTGTAATGTCTGGTGCTATAGTGGGCCTTGTCTCAAATCCAATATAAAGGAAATGTTTTATGACTGTCACTTCACATGTTTTTGCTTCATTTTATTTTGGAGTGCCATTTTAAGGGTGCACATACCATAGTTTACCCACTTAATCAATGAGCAACTTTACTTTTTTAAACTTAAAAAATTTCATGTGTTTTGCCTGCGGTATTAAGTACGCTGTGTGCAATGCCTGCATAGACCAGAAGAGGGCATCAGATCCTTAAACTGAATTCTAGATTTCACAGCCTTGGCATCCTGAGAGGTGATATTGGTCTCCAACCTCAGGTTTACCTGTTTTTTTTTGTTTTTGTTTTTGTTTTGGTCTTTTTGAGACAGGGTCTCCCTGTAGCCCCAGCTGTCCTGGAATTCACTATGTAGACCAGGCTAGCCTTGAACTCACAGAAATTCACCTGCCTCTGCCTCCCAAGTGCTGGAATTAGAGGTGTGTGCCACTACGCCCAGCTTAGTTTTACCTGTTTTTAATAAAACCTTATGGATATTTACATACATGACTTCATGTGATCACATTCAACTTTGGAATTAAGACCTAGAACAGAATTACTGAGTCATATGACAAGTGTGTTAAACTTTTAAAGAAGTTGTAGGCTGGGGATGTAACTCAGTGGTATAGAGTTTTCCCTGTATGTGCAAGACCCTAGGTTTGATGCCCAGCAACACAGAAAATAAAGCCAGATCAAGAGACATAGGCCTGTAATCTTAGCTACTCAGAGGCCTGAGGAAGGAGAATCTCAAGACCTGCCTGAATCCAGAACAAGTTTCTAGTCCAAGCTAGAAAGCTTAGTAAGGTTTTGTCTCAAATAAGAGAAATGATAAAATCTAATTGGACTCAATGGACTAAGAAAAACAGACATTAACTTGGGAAGGAACTGTGGAAGGTATGTCTAGGAGGAGTGGGGAATGAGTAGGGGGTGGATATGATCTAACTTCATTGTATTCATGCATGAAATTACCAAAGAATAAAGAAAAACCAAGGTTCTGGGAATATAGTTCAATGGTAGAGCACTTATCCGGCATATAAAAGACCCTTGATCCAATCTCTTGGCTTCTCTTCAGAAGCTTTGAGATAATTGACTTCATGGAGACTGACTGTCCATCTCAGCAACCCCCAAGTTTTCTCATATCTATAAGTGACTTATAAAATACCTGATAAGGGCATTTGGGGAATACAAATTAGACTCCACAGGCCTTTAAAAATTACAAAGAAGGCCGGGTGTGGTGGCGCATGCCTTTAATCACAGCATTCGGGAGGCAGAGGCAGGCGGATCTCTGTGAGTTCAAGGCCAGCCTGGTCCACATAGTGAGTTCTAGGACAGCTGAGGCTACAGGGAGACCCTGTCTCAAAAAAAACAACCCCCCGCCGCAAAACAAAGGACATGAAGTCAGGGGTGGGTGGGGGTGATTAGTAAGGTAAGGGTAGAAATGGGGAGGGGGCCTGAATATGATCAAAGTAAATTGTATGAAGTTCTCAAATAATTGAAAATATTAAACATTAGAAACAACAAAACACCCAATAAGCCATAACCCTTGTGTCTTCATAAGTTGAAGCTGCCATAAGAAAATAAGTGAACTCAGTCCTATGGCAGATGTCTGTGGCTCAGCTACTTGAAAGACTGAGGCAAAGAGATTTCATGAGCTCAGGAGTTAAAGGGCAACCTATTCTATGTACATACATGCATCTCAACATATATATATATATGTATATATCATATATGTATGTATCATAACCTGTAGGCTTATAAACAACAGAAATTTGTTCACAATTTTGGAGATCATGAAATCCAGGGTTAAGATGCCAGCAGATATGCTGTGTGGTGAGGGCTAGCTCTCTTGGCCAAAGATTGAACCTTGTGTTTTCACTGGGCAGATGGTATAAATAATTGTGCTCATGACCTGGGCCTCCTAATGTATCCAACTTTTACTATCATCCCATTGGCGACTAGGTTACAACATAGGAATGTGATGCATAGAAAATTTCAGTATATGTTACCTAAATGTTGTCCATATCAGCTCTGAGGTTGCCAACAACTGAAACTGTCTCTACCTATTGTGTTTGTACATTAAATGTCACCTATGATTGACATCTAAGATAATCTATTTCTGTCCTAAAGTGGTGAATGGCACAATTTTTTTATGAGAAGCAAAACTGGGTATGCCTATTAGTCCCCTTATCCTGGGATAGTGTGAGTGCATGCGTGTGTGTGTGTGTGTGTGTGTGTGTGTGTGTGTGTCCAGAAGAGAGAGGTTGAATTTGAATTTTCAGTGTCTGCTGGTTTGTTCTTTTTTTTTAGACAGTGTCTCCATATAGCCCTGGCTGACTATGATCTCACAGGGATTTGCCTACTTCCGCCTCCCTAGTGCCAAGATTAAAGGCTTGTGCCACCTGTATATGTTTGGATTCATCCTCCTGGCTTTTCTGTTTTCCTGAAACATCCTGGTTGCCTGTGACACCTCTATTCTCCTTGATCCTCCATATATAACCTTCATTTTTTAATATTTTATGTGTATGAGTGTAGTGCCTGCATGTAGGTAAGTGCACCCACGTTGTGCAATGCCTGCGGAGGACTGAAGAGGTTGTGGGATCCTCTGGAACTAGAGTTACGGACAGTTGATAGCTGCAATGTGCTGGGAATCAAACCTGGGTCTTCTGCAAGAACAGTCAGTGCTCTTAACCACTGAGCCATCTCTCCAGCCCCAATAACCTTCGTTTTTACCTTATTGTTGTCTCTGAACATTTTTTGCCTTTCTCATACCCTCTCTTTTATTTTATGCCATTATGCAAAGGTACCAAATTGTGCTCAAACTATATTCCACCAAAGCATTTCTGTCTATCATTATGAGGCTGGATCACTCATCCTAGAAACCCAGAGGCTTTCTTCAACCCTACTTAAACCAACTTGCCTTTAAGGACAAGTTTTCCAAATTTGGTAAAGTTCCTATTTAAGTTTTTTGATTGATTTTTATGTGTATGTATGTTTTACCTGCATGTATATAAGTGTACCCATGTGTGCAATGCCTGTGGCCAGAAGAGGGAGTTGAAGCCCCTGGAACTGGAGTTATGTATGGTTGTTAGACACAATGTGGGTGCCGGGAACTGAACCTGAGTCCTCTGCAAGAGCAACAAGTATTCTAAACTGCTGATCCATCTTTCCAGCAGTCTCCCCACTCTTTTTTTTTTTTTTTTTTTTTTTTTTTTTTTTGAGATAGGGTCTTCCTATAGCCCTAGCTGGCCTGGGAACTTACTACGTAGACCATGCTGGCCTCTATCTCACAGAGATCCACCCACCTGCCTCTGACTCCCTAGTGCTGGCATTAAAGGAGTGTACTATCACGCCCAGCCCACATCTTTCTTTTAAAGTAATCCTGGGAACTATGTGTGAGACTCTGTCACTTTCATGTCCCTATGAATAAGCCAGACCTGTATGGGATAGAAGAAGATGGCACACAGCTCTGGGTCCTCTTAGAGTTGTCAGTAATTCTGAGCCCAGAAATCTGAGCAAAAAATGTTCAGAACAGTAGTTCTGAGTGAGTTTCCTGCCTGGAAAGCCCTAATGACTTCTCAGAGCCTAGGATATAGCAAGCAAGGGTCACAGCTGAGAAAGTGTGGCCTCCTTAGAGTGGATCAGACTGAGGAGGCCTGGTAGAAATTTACCACAGTTCAAACTAGATCAGATTAGAATGAGAGGCATCAAAAGACTAAACACAACTTGTCTTGGTACTATCTTGGCTCAGCTTCTAATAAGGGCCTGTGATCTATGTGATAGGCCCAGACCACATGCCCTTTGCTTTGTAAGTTAGCTGGTACCTTTGCCCAAGGTCAGATACATGGGGAAAGGAAGGTAGGGTCTCTCGGTTCAACTGTGGGATGTGATTCTTGGGGTTTCCAAATGTTCTAATGCATGGAAACTTGCACAAGGTCATTTTGGATGGTACCAAAGTGCTTCTCTGGCCAAGGTGGTGACATACTCCGAGCCCAACGTCAGCATAAAGGTGTTATTAGCTTCATTATTTTCCAAGAATCAGTAGCAGCTACAGTCACAGTCACAGTCACAGTCACAGCCACACATAGAGGAGGGATGTCC